CAGCAGCAGTATGGCAGTGCTGACACGCTGTCCCTTTGGGCAGCAGGTGGTGTCCCAGCCTGGCCACAGCCCCTCAGACTGCCCTCCAGCTCCCTGACAGGTCAACACGCGACCTGGCCACGTTAAACCCACGTAAAGCCCAGCTAGGCTGTACGTGTCTGCCCCATCACTCTGCCCGTCCTTCAGATGGCTTATCTTCCCCAGGGGACTTGGTTTGACCAGTGTCTTGCCAATGGGTTTCATCCCCTGGCAAGTTCACTATGGATTCAATGTGACCTAAGAAGTGACAGAACGTTCTTCATGTGAAAGGGTTATCCCCAACTTTATTTCCACAGTGGCAGGTTAATCACTAAAATCCCATCCACTCAGAGCAAGTCTGCAGGCAGCAAGCCAGTCTCTGCCTCTGGGCCTCTCTGCCCGCACAGCTGTCCTCTGAGCCTCTGTCCTCAGCACTGCCACCACTCCAGCCTCTGCTCTGCTCTCCTGCAGCCTTGCAGCCATGCTACCATGTCACCCAGAGCACTGGGCGGACCTCTTTATATAGAGTCAATAATGACGCATTGTCCACATGTGTGTAGTGAGCTAATCAACCAGGACCAGGTGAGAATCCTGGCCACAGGAACTTTCATTTTATTCACAACTAGTTTCCAAGTTCTCGGGACACCATGTTTTACACTAGTGTATTGGCCAGTGTGTGGTTTTAATGAATATTTATGTGGCTAAAATAAAAGACAGTGAAGTAACTGTAACCTGATGACCCTTTCCTGCCCCCTCCCCACTTTTCCCTAACTAGCAGTGAGAGGGTGGGGCTGTCAATAGGGGGTTCCAACCTTTCTGACCCTGGGATCCCCTTTCTTAATGTTGAAAACTTCCCTGAACCCCACACTTGTACACTTAGTACATTAGATTGTAGTCTTTCCATGTATTTTAAAATAAGTTTAGTATGACTTTTAAAGAACATGCGTATATTCATCACAATAGCATCTACACATGTTTAAACACAGTCATCAAAGTGTGCAGGCAACAGATG